TTCCAGGACCTCAGCGCCTGCCTGTGATCCCAGCCACTTGGGAGGCCGAGGCAGGAGGATCCCAAGTTTGAGGACAGCTTTGGCATCTTAGAGAGACCCTGTCTCAAAATWAAAAAATAAAAATAAAAAGGGCTGGGGGTGTAGCTCCGTGGTGGAGCACCCCTGGGTTCAATCCCCAGCACCAAGAAAATAATAAAAAACCAAAAGCCCTAGCGATCTCTTACACATGGACACAGCCCGCGCAATGACCCCGTGTGCCCACGTCACGCCCTCCTTTCATTTCTCTGCCTTCCCTGCCATCCCCACGTTGGCAATACGTGGCAGTGGGTGTGTATTTCCCTGCTCTTCTCCACGGTCASAGAGTCACAGGCTGACACACGCATGGACACGCAGGGGGCAGGGTGGCTTTGAGGCCACGCCGACCTCACGTGGCACATGCCCCTCTGCGTCTTGCCTCTCTCAACAGAGCCTCCTGGAAATCCCTCCCGCTGGGGGGAGAGTCCCCTCCATTCCTGGTAAGAGATGGTCTATCCACAGCCGAGGGGTGGCACACTGACCACACCCACCCCTCCAGACGTTTTGCCACAATGAACAGAAGTAGCTGGAGATGTGGCTGAGCCCCCGGGGGCTGGCACCTGCGGGTGCCCAGGCCTGGGGCCCTGGAATCTGCTTTCTAACACACGTTGAGGGAATCGTGTGCGCTGCCTTTAGGAACCAGGGTGCCAGCCAGTTCTTATGCCACTGGGACTTTCTGGTTGCAGAGGTACCACTGCAGCCCAAGCAGCCCCTGAGCTGCTGATCCCAGGCCGAGGGTCGGGGGAGGCACCTAAGGGAGGAAGAGGGAAGCCCAGAGGTGCCTCGGGAACAGGAGGGTCCTCGAGGTCTTGACGTCAAAGTCACCGGGCCACATGGTGCAGGATGCCCATGTCCAGGCAGAACGTCAGGGAGGGGCCTGGTCGGCTGGGTCCTCAGAGTTTCTAGGAGATTCTTCTAGCGCGTGGGGGGAGAGCCCAGGCTGCAGAGGTGGCCAGCTCTGTGACCAGCAGTGCTTTCGCTCCTCTGTGCCTCCGTGTCCTCATCTACAGAGGGAGGGCCGTAACACTAACTGCCCCTCCCTTCCTGCAGGGCGGCTGGAGGCCTCCCGAGGCCGTGGAATTGGGCAGCCTCCTGCCGAGGCCCACAGTGACTTGTTCCTCCTTCTGAAGGGAGGGTGCGCCAGGCCGTCCAGAGCTGCGGACCAGGGAGAAGGCCAGGCCCCCGCTTCCTGCACGTCCAGAGCCGCCTCCTGGCTCAGTCCCAAGCCACTGAGGCCAGCAGGATGTGGCCTGGGAGTCAGGCCCCCTTCCCTGGCCCCCACGGGTGATGTCTGGAAGGGTCTTTGGCCCTGGGGTGCGCCTACACAGACGTTGCCCNGAGATGGTCTATCCACAGCCGAGGGGTGGCACACTGACCACACCCACCCCTCCAGACGTTTTGCCACAATGAACAGAAGTAGCTGGAGATGTGGCCTGGGAGTCAGGCCCCCTTCCCTGGCCCCCACGGGTGATGTCTGGAAGGGTCTTTGGCGCTGGGGCGCGCCTACACAGACGTTGCCCAGGGAGGCCATCGTTTRTTGAGCGCTTACTATGTGCCACTCTAGGTGTGCCACTAACACGTCCCTCGTGACCCGACTTAAGTTCCAGGTGAGCTCCGGGAGGCAGGCAGTCACTGTGCCCATTTCACAGAGGAGGACACTAAGGCTTGGCGGGTCGGCCAGGTGGCTTCGCGGCTGAAGGCCCTGGAAGGGACCAGGAGTGTGGTCTGGGCAGCCGTCTGGGAAGGCAGAGGAGGATGGAGGTCGCCTGTGTCCGCAGGTTTGGTGGGGCAGCTCCCAGGGCCACGCCAGGGGGATCCCAGGTCTCGGCCCAGCCTCACCGAGGGGGCAGGGCTGAGCAGAGCCCTGGAGGCGGGGCCCGCGGGTCGCCCCTTCTTCTGCAGAGTCCAGGAAGCTCCCTGGGAGGCCACGYGGGCTTCCAGAGGGGCCACCGTGGGGTCCGAGTCATGGAGACCAGAGACTCATTCTTATGCTCAAGGTAGCCCGTGGGGACAGAAAGCCCAGGTCATCCAACAAAGGACAAAGGTGTACAGGCAGGGTCCTGTCTCCCCACGTCGTCGCAGGCGGAGTGGGGTTTAGTCCTGCCCGAGCTCTCCGCCACGTCTCCCTGAGCCCGGGTCTCCCCCATCTCCAGTCGCTGCCTCCGTGTGACTCATTAGGCGATAAAGTCCCAAAGGCCGCTCCGTGACTGGGCTGCACGTCCCAGGCTCCTGCCCCTCACCTCAGCCTGCCTCTCCCACCTGGGAAAGTCCCCAGGATTGTCTTCAGAGCAGGACAGACTGTGACCTGTCTCCGTGGGTGTGATTTTAATGACTTGTCTCTGGGCTGCGGCTTCCTGGTGTCTCTGCCGGCCACAGGGTCCTTGAAGGCCCCGCTGGMTTTTCAACCCCGTCTCCAGGGGCATCCTCTTAATTTTACAGCCTCGAAGGCTGCATTTCCTAACTTTCTGGGGTGTCTGTAAACCCCACAAGTCYGCTTGCCTGCCTCCCGCCCCGGGACGATGTCATTCCCTAGATCCTACGGGTCCTGTTCTTCTTGGGGATCCCTGACTGTCTCACCTCCAGCAGGAACCAGGCCTGCAGACACCCCGACATTGGCCCAGTGACATGAGCCCAGTGACATGAATGTGGGTGACTCGGGGCCACTGAGTTGGTGACGTGCTGGACGCTGGAGGAAGGCGATTCACGGTGTCCTCTGCCAGGTCGCAGGTGGATGGCGTTTCGGGATTTAGTCTGCCCCCCTCTCTYCTGCCGTCCAGCTGTCCCACCCACCCCAGCTGGAGCACAGGGGGACCCTAAGTCCCCTGGAGCCTGTGGGCCGGGAGGGCACGGGGTGGGCCAGGCCCCTGCACCTCATCTTGTTCTCCCAACGGGAGGGACTTTCCTCGGCCTCCTCGCGGGATGGTTCCCCTGGGGGAGCGGGTGCCCTCATCCTGTCAAGACCTGGGCACGTGAGGGGCGCTGGAAGACTGAAGTACTGGGCGGCCAGGGCGGCCTTGGGAAGCCTGTGGTGTCCCCTCCTGTCACCTGCCCTGGGTTGTTTCTGCGTTTTGCTCCTCAGGAGGAAATGGGGGGCTCTGGAAGGCACAGGTGGGAGGCGCCCCTGGAACTCCACAGGGGGCTGTCGGCTGCTGGGCACGAACTCTGGGGCTGTACTCGGGCTGGGGGCTGTTGCCCCTCAGGATGGCTAACACCCCTTCAAATTGCTCTTTTCAGATGAGAAAACCAGAAGGGACTGGTTTAAACCAGCCAACCCACCCAGGGCACCCCCACCCCCACCCCACCGCGGGTTTTAAGTGCTCAGTGTGTGAAGTCGGCTCCGGAATTGCCCCTGCGCGCCCAGGAAAGCGCTGCCTCTACCTGTGAGGGTCTCTCCAGTGGGTAAAGGCACCTCTGTCCCCAGAGTCCCTTGCCGTCTCTGCTCAGAGACACTGCTTGCTCCTCACCTGGTGACTAACAAACCTTCACTCTTGGATCTCCTGATTGTGCTTTTTGGWTTTGGGGTCACCCCGGGGGAGCCCATTGGGCTAGTCACAGGGTGGGCACAACCTCTCCATGGGTGTGGGCGGGAAGGCGGGTGCTGCCAGGGCTGAGCAGGCACCAGGCTCCATGGCACTCGGGCTTCCCCAGGCGCCAGCCCCAGGGCCACCCCAGCCCCAGCCCCGCCCCTGCCCTGCCACACCCCTGCCCTGCCACGCAGGCCTCCTCCCGGGGGCTCGCGCTCATCACAGCGGTCAGGGGCAGCCGCAGCCTGCTCTACAGTGACTTTACCTGCTTACCCAAATTTGGGTTTATCAGCCCCAAATTCCTGGAGGCCAGGCCAACAAGGCCTTCAGTGGCAGAAAGTCCCTGATCCTTGCTGTCCCACCCCAAGCCCAAAGGGCCAAAGTTCTACCCACAGCATTTGTGTTTCTGCGGATTTATTAGCTGTGAGGAAACGCAGCGGGACGTGTACAGAACACACTCGAAGCCCAAACCAAGCCTCTCCCCACGCCCACCCGGGCCCAAGCAGCTCATCCCCAAAGCTGTCCCTCCAGAGCTGTCTGCGTGGACCCAGCCCTGCTAGTCCACCTCTCCTCAGCCTGGCAGGATGTGGGAACCCTGACCTGTGGTCAATAGAAGGCCTAGGCCAGGGCCAACTCATCAGGGGTGCCCCCTGCACAGAGAAGTCCCGGGATTAACAAAGCATCCTCATCAGGAGGTGGACCACCAGGGCCAGCCCTGTGAGCTCTGAAGGACACTTTCCATCCTCGTACCCAGGTCTTTCCCATCTCCACCAATTCCCCAGGCTACTTTTATCTCCAGAAATTCAGGTTCTGTGTGTCAGATGATGGGGGCGTGCGTATAAGTCTCACGTGACTCTACAGGCACAGAGTTCGTCACCTGGCCAGGAGCTTAGAGGGGGATGATGGTCCCACTTTGTTCTAAATGAACCCTTAGGTCCCTCTCTGCGGGGGTGGCTTTGGGCAGGATGTCTCCTGTCCTGTGTTGAGTGGTCTAAGATTGTGTCCCTGTGGGGGAGGAAACCAGGCCAAAGCAGAATCCCAGGGCCTCCCCCRCTTAGGACACACAGGCCGAGATGGCTGGTGACATGTGTGGGAACTTCTAGACCCCAAAGCGAATTTCCCACCCAACAGAGGAACAGGAGGTGAGGGGACTTTTGCGGGGAGTCCCCATGGGTCATATGAGAGCCACAGAAGTGAGGGCCTTCTTGGTGAGAGGCCAAGGAGATTCATGCCTGAGAACCAAACAGGCCGCAGGCGAGGGGTGGACGCTTCTAGGGAAAGGTTTCTGAGAGGGACGGGTCACCCCCCGCCCCCGGCATTTGATCTGGAACCTGGGGGTCTCTTGATGCTCGTTGTTCGGGGGCCACCACTGCGGGGGGAGGGGAGGCTGGGGGGACGGGCTCAGGGCACCATGTGCCACCACTTGAAGGAGAAGGGCTGCCGGCGCACGTTGGTGCCGCAGTGGACCTCGCCGTGCAGCATGTGGTAGGGCGTGAAGTCGTCGATGAAGGTGCAGTGCAGCCCCAGCGGCTCCAGCAGGGCGCGCACCTGCTCCTCCAGGCAGCAGCGGCCGTTGATGAGGGGCCCGAAGGGCTTGGGGATGCCCAGGTGCTTCCCCAGCACCAGCATGTTCACCTGCGGGGGGGGGGGGGACAGCGCTGAATCACAGCTCCGCCCCGCGGAACCCCCACCCTAACCCAGGTCGGAGCTGACCCTATGCGGGACCTAGTGGGGTGGCCATATCCAGATCTGTCCCAGGGGAGGGCAGCAAAGCCAGCACCMGGGAAGGAGAGGGAGGGCAGGAGGAGAAAGGCCCAGGCCCTCCTGGGCCCTCTGCCACGGTCCCTGCCCTCAGGTTACGCAGTGTCCTTTTGTCAAATCTCCCTCTGGCCGAGGCCGGCTGGGGAGAGCCTCTAAGCTTCCGTTTTGCCAACCCAAGAACCGGAACGTTGCCCAAGCTTCCAGGGGCACCTCGCAGGGCCACGGGAAGGAAGAGGCAAGAAGGGTAGAGCCAGAGAGGCAGGAAGGAGGTGAAGCAAAGCTGGTGAGGAAAGGCCCCCCGCGGCTTTCAGGACGGTGAGTTCAGCTCCTGGGGGAAGGAGGGAGAGCAGGTGACCCAAGGGCACGCCAGCGCCACCTGGGGGCGGATAGAGCTGCAGCAGCCTCCCGCACCCTCCCTCAGGCTGCTGAACCCGGACSCAGTGGGCCCCAGGTGTGTGTTTCAGATGCAAGACTTGGAGGCCCGGGTGGGGGCAACCTCTTAGGGCTCAATGAGGCCCCTACTGGGAAGCCTTCTTGGACCCCCACTCCTACCCTTTAAACCAGGGGGCACTTGCCCTCCCCTCCCAACTGAAATAGAAATAGATCTCGGGACTTGTTTTCAGAGGTGACGAGAGTGTCCCTCTCCACGGATCAGAGTGCACGCTCCTGAGAGCGGGGCCATCTGGAACCACGTCAGGATAGACGTGGGTGTTGCACAACCATGAGCCCGAGGACGGGGACAGAATAGCCCCGAGARGCCAGGTGCAAATATCCCTTCACTCCACCAACATCAGCGCCACCCCTCCCCCGCCCTCGAGCAGGGACCATGACGGACAGCCACCATAAACCATGGCGTCAGACCAATCTCCAGCCACCACAATCCCAAACAAGACTGTCATTAAATGTGTCCCCGCTTGGGGGACGGAGGCTTGGAGCCTCATCGTAGGAAGGCCCAGGTCCCAGGTGGTGGGCTCACCAAATCCGGGAAGAAGGCGGTGGCCTTTCTCCTCTCAGACTTGAAGAGCTGCGGAATGTCGATGATGTCGCGGTCGGCCAGCCCCAGCTCCCGCTTCAGCACCTCACGGTTCCAGTCGATGCAGCTCTGGGGGTGGGAGGGGCCGAGTTGGGGACACCTTGCCATGTGTGTTGGGGGCATACGCAGTTGAGCAAGGGCATGAGGACCGAGTGCCCACGGATCAACCGCCCACACAAACCTCACCTCTGTGCCCCTTGGTGGAGATACACCTGCTCTGTGCCCCACTGGCTAAACTGAGAGGGTTCCGGAATGTTCCATCTTTGACCCTCTTCTCTGAAATCCTCCCTCCTTAGGGATCTCATTCAGTCTCTACATTAAAACACTGACAGGTCCCAAGTTTCTATCTGCCCCTCTCTGTATAAGGTTGTCYATGTCCTGAGCTCAGACTCGCGAGGACAACAGCCCCCTTGGCATCTCTGCTCAGATGGGTCCCAAGATGGACTCTTTTTTTTTTTTTWA